AGAGTTCAGGAAAATAAATGGGGTATAGCGGGGTGCGTGCTGGGGAGGGACTGACAAAAGAAAAGGAATATAGTGTGTGTACTGGGAGAGGGTGGAAAAAATAATAGGAAGTGATATTTTCCTTTTTCAGAGCTACACATACTGGTTTGATATCGGAGCAATTTCCTTGTTTTATTTTTTACATAAGAGTAGGGGACAATGGGAATAGTAAGTAGACATAAGGATTTCTGTTTTACTTCTGGTCCTGACACTGTGAGACCCTGCTTGGGAGGTTTGGCTACCATTTCCTCCCACTTTCTTCAGCTTCCAACAGCCCACAAACTCAAGTCTAAGGATGAATTTTAGTTGTTTCAGAAGTTTCTTGGGAAAATGAAACAGGTAGGAATGAGTGGACAACAGCCGGCATCTCGAAAGCACACATGGAAATGGTACACACATCTTCTGGTTCTCTAACAAATGTACCGCAGACAGCGCATTTGGTTTTGCAGACCCTCCCTGTATAAAACCAAACACTCCTGTTTTTATACCAATGTGGTTTCAGAAAATCATTGCAATGCACAAAAGCCATTCAAGTATCACTGTCATTTTGCCTAAGTTTTGTGATTAAACCTAACTGTTCAGAAATGTCTGAAAGAAGAGAATACATTTCTTTAAATTCCTTTTTCTATTAAATTCCGTTCTTCTATTTTCCTTCTATTCCGGAACTTAACGGAGATGGCAGCATGTAGGAGCTCTCCTTCTCCAGAGAGAGTTCAAACTCAGATCCCGGGTTCTCATGCCTACAGAGTCCAAGTGTGCATCTTGTAGTAGTTCGGTACAACTGCAGCATCGAATGGCTGCATACTTGGGCATGGCTCACAGCCTGCCTCAACTGGATCCATATGACAAACTACAAAATACCCTCACATCACATCTGTTTGTATTGTGATGTTGCTTTGAGCAACTGTCATTGCTTTGTCTTGCTAAGTAATTAATTCAAAATTATATAATGAGACCATCAAGCCCTGTCAAGTCCTCCCTTGCAGATTCCCTCAAATCCATCCCGTTTTCCTCTTGCCCCTGCCATACCAGTAACTGTCACGCTAGACTAGTGCTGGCCTCCCAAACCTGCCCACATCTAGTATCTCACACAGCCACAATGTTGCCAGGACAATAAGCCTAAATTACCTCCATGCAAACCACATTCCTTCATTCAGAACAAAGCCAAACACAAATCAGCCCTTCAATGGCTCCCTGTCCGTCAAGTAAAAAGCCAAAGAGCTTAGCCTCACATTTAAGACCGTCTATAATCTGGCTCCAGTCCAGATTTCCCAATGAAACTGCCCTATTCCCTTTTACTCTGCAAAACTAGCCTATTCGCTAACTCCTCTGTTCCCAACAAACACACACACACACACATGCGCACGCACACACACACACAACCTTCTCTTTCTGTTTCCAGGGCTTTGCTCATACTGTCCACCTGCCTGGGATGCCCTCAACCACGGTCCTCCTGGCCTATTCAAGTACTGTCCTCCGAAGCCAAATGCAACATCCTATCTTCATTATCTACCATTCTATCTCTACTACCTCTTTGACGGCTATATAACTAGTGCTTCACAAATAACTCACTTGCTATTTCTTTGATGCCTTATACTCTTCGCCACGTTCGCTTCACTGGATTGTACCAGAGGGTATAAACCAGCCTCTCTGGCAATCTGCTGCTCCTGTTTTGATGTTCTGTGCAGAGCAGACAATTAGTATGTATATCTGATTGACTAACTAGTTAAAGATATTATGTATTTGCTCACTCAACAAATATTTATTGAATCCCAGGAGGTGCTAGGCACTGTTACAGGCACCAGGAAAATATACCTGCCTTCATAGGACTTACATTCTAGGGAAGGAGAAATAGAATTCTTTTTTCAAAGTAAACTGTAAAAATATTAGAAGGTGCTAAGTGCTCTGGAGAAAAAGCAGGGAAAGAAAGTAAGGAGTATAAGAGAGAGGTGGAAAGTGGGCTGTGATTTTACACAGAATGATCGTGGAAGGCCCCGCTGAACAAGTGACATTTGAGCAACGACTTGAATGAGACAAGGGAGTGAGGTATGCAGATACCTGGAAGAACATTCTGGGCAGAGGGAGAGCAAGTTCTAAAACCCTGAGGCAGGACCGTGTCTAGAATATTCAGGGAAGAACAAAGAGGCTAATGTGGGGTGAGTGAGGCGGGGAGGGTAATGGGAGGAGCTAGGCTGGGAGAAGCCCAGCCGGCCATTCAGGGATCTGGGCTGTTATCACTAGGGAATGGAGCAGAGGAATGACACACCTGACTCACATTTGAAAGGACCCACTGGGATGGTCACTGAGAAGAGGCAGATGGGAATACGGACAGAGGCAGGAAGGCCAGTCAGGGTAATTTAGGATGGGGATAACCATGGGGACCAAAGTCTTTAGGAGGAGGAGAACAGTATCTCAGACACTGGAGATATTAAGTTGGAGTAACGCATGGGGAGACTGAGGGAGCAGTCAGACACAGGGGACTAGAGTTCAGGGGAGAAAATGGGGCTAAAACCCACATGGGGGAGTTATTGGTGTATAGACAGTATCGAACCTATGGGAGCAGATGAAGTCCAGGGAGTCAGCATAGACAGAGACAAGGTCCAAGGACTAAGCCTAGGAACCCACCAAGACTGAGGAGGAGGAGCCGGTGAGGCAGGAAGAAAACAAGGAAAATGTGAATGCCAGTCTGTTGGGAAGAGACTGTGTGCTTGGGAGAGTAATCCATGTTCGTGATGAACATGGCACTGATTTAACTTACATTATGGAGGCTAAGAGGGAGTTTGTTTTTCACTCCTTTGGGGCAGCTGTGGGTAGGCAAATTTTAGGCAGGGGTACTAAGATAAACAAGGAGAGGATACAATTTTCCTAAAAGTAAAAGTACAATTTTGACAACACAATATTGAGTTCTGTTTTCTACTGGGACAAAAAAAAAAAAAAAAAAAAGCCTCGGGATAATCACATTAGTGCAGGGTTTGTCGATCTCGGCACTACTGACATTTTAGGCTGGATAATTCTTGACCTTAGGGGCTCTCCTGTGCATTATGGGATGTGTAGCAGCAGCCCTGGACCCCACCCACTAGATGGCAGTAGTAGCCCCCATAGCCGCCCCCCACCCCCAAAGCGCCAAATGCCCCTGCAGGGCAGAATCCGCCCCACCTGACAACCACTGACTTAGAGCAAGCGGTCAATAAAAACCAACTCTAAGTATACTTTAAACATCCTTGCTGCCGAATGCATCTGTTAATTTCTGCTGCTAATCTCTTCCCCGGATCTCTTACCAGCCAGCTGATTTGGAAGGTTCTCACTGTATTCATTACCCAGAGTGAAGAAAGCAATTAGCTCAAAGATGTACTTCCAATTTTTTTCTATATAAAAGATATGCCCCAAATCTACCCAGTTCAAAAATGGTCATCTCTGCCCACACCTGTTCATAGCAGCACTATTCGTAAGAGCCAAGAGGTAGAAACAACCCAGTGTTCAACCATGGACAGATAAACAAAAGGTGGTACATCCATTACCATGGAATATTATGCAGCCTTAAAAAGGAAGGAAATTCTGACACATGCTACAACATTGACATTCTGCTGGTGGAATAAGCTAGTCACAAAGAGACAAATACTCTACTCATCTGAGGTACTTACAGTAGTCAGATTCACAGAGACAGAAAGTAGGATGGTTGCCAGGGACTAAAGAAAGGGGAGAATAGGGAGCTACCATTCAATGCATACAAAGTTTTAGTTTTACGGGATAAAAAAAGGTGTAGAGATGGCAGATGGTGATGGTTGCACAACAATGGGAATGCAACTAATGCTACGGAACTGTACACTTAGAAATGATGAAGATGGTAAATTTCATGTTATGAGCTTTTTACCACAATTTCTAAAAAAAAAAAGCATACAGGCTCTCTGGTCAGACTGTCTTGAGTTCAAATACTGGCAAAATGCCCAGCAAGGTATCTGGCATACAGTAAGTGCTCAGTAAACAGTAGGAGCTGATTACAAATTAGTATTTTAACCAGAATTCTACCAATTCAGTCTGCATGTCTGTCAGGACCCATGGTTGACAGTAATGTGTGCATCTGGCGAAATAGGAAAGCAGTCATAAAGAAAGGATGGCTTAAAAAAACAATGACCATTTCTGAGAATAAAATCATTTTACCAACTATTATTAAGTACAAAGTAAGGTCAATTTCTTCCCCCTCAAAATTAGGTCCTCTCCTGTAGATTGACTTGTCACGTATTTTAAAGATCCAGACTCTTTTCGTATTATGTTTTCAAACCTTAAAAATTTTTTAAACATTTAAAAATATTTTTGTATATGTAAATATACTTTTTCTTAAATGATCAATAATCCATTCTAGATGTCACCCTGTTTATATGAGCTTTGCTTTCTTTTTTTTTTTTTTAAAGATTTTATTTATTTATTTGAGAGAGAGAATGAGAGAGAGAGAGAACATGAGAGGGGAGAGGGTCAGAGGGAGAAGCAGACTCCCCGCCGAGCAGGGAGCCCGATGCGGGACTCGATCCTGTGACTCCAGGATCATGACCTGAGCCGAAGGCAGTCACTTAACCAACTGAGCCACCCAGGTGCCCTGAGCTTTGCTTTCATTATTGATTTCCACAACGCCCTGCCCCAGTCCTACAGAGGCTGTAAGTCAGACTCCCATTCATTTCCTCCTAACATAGCTGCTGAAAACGGAACCTAACTGTCATAGCTGCATGTGTCTTAAGGACAGTTAAAGGAAAGAAATAACAAAATAAAACAAAAAAGTCAATAACAGAAACACAACAGAAAGTGCCTAAGAGAAAGCCAATGCTTTCGATGACGAGCAAAAAGCAGTGATTGGCAGAGGCTCTCAGCTTGCAAAGAGAAGCTCACCAGGCAGGTACTCATTCAGTAAGAAACCAAAGCAAAGCAGAGCTAAGTGCCCGGCGCGGATGGGGCTTTCTGAATTGTCTCACCTGCATGGGATTGATTTTCACTGAGCGCTCAAAGCACTCCACGCATTCTCTGAACTCCTTGTTCCGCAGATGAAGAAGGCCTTTGGAGCGCTGGGCCCGAGCGCTGCGGTGGCGGGACAGCTCCCAGGCCCGGTCATAGCAAGAGTGGTCTCGAAGGACGTCTCCAAGCAAGCAGTACAAACTCGGCGTTTCTTTTTTCTCCAGCTCTTGCCTAAGGATTTCTTCTGCCTAGAAATAACAGAAATAAAAATCCTTGAGTGATTTCAGAGTCAGACAGAGCCTCTTAAAAAAAATTAGGAAGGAAAGAAGGGAGGGAGGGAGGGAGAAAAGAAGGAAGAGGCAAGCCCATACTGGTGAGGAAGGACCCCACTATAACATAACTATCATATACCATAATTCTTCCCTTGTCTTCCCCCAAAGACTTAAACTTTAACATTGCCAGGTAATTCTTTCCTGGGGGAAAAGAAATAACTGTCTTTTCAGGGTTGGTAAGTTCTTAGTTAATGCTATTCCTCTGGGACCCAGAACATCACCATGATGAGTCAGTGGGTTTATGGGAGTCAGTAGATCCCATGGAAGGCCTAGTAAGTCATATGTACCGCTATGTCAACTTGCCTCAGGGGGAAACTATGTTTCCAAAAATCCCTTTCCCTTCAGATTTTGCATTACAGTTGGTCAGGGGGGAATTTGTTGGGGATCTGAAAGGCAGAAGTAAAGCAACAGCCTTTACTCTTGGAAGGTGGCCGTGGTTAAGTATGGTGTCACACAAGATGCAGAGATGTCCTGCAGATTCCAGCTTGTCCTTTGCTCTATGTATCCAGCTTATGCTTCTGATTGTGGACCCTGCCAACCAAAAGCAGCCCCGGGACCACCATCAGATGTTTCACTGGGGACCCCCAGGCTGGGAGCTACATATAGACAACAGCTTTCCACAGATCTCTCCACAAATTCCTCCTTTATGCTCCCATTTCAATGGCTGGAAGGACTCGGCTTCTCAGATGCCCTGGTAAGTTCTGACTTCTCCACTGTGCCAGTGCTTCAAGCAGACTGGGAAATGATTTCTTTCCCTGATCCTTCTACTCCCTCTTCCACACCTTCATTTCTCCAGCTCTCCGCACGTTCGTATAACATCTTATTCCTTTAGTAAGCCCCTTGATGGCATCCCAAAACTACTCAAAGTGCCTCTGCTTCCACCAACAAAACCTGAATGATATAATTTTTTTTCATTTTTTGCCTTTTAAACTCCTTATGTGTCCTCCCATTTGATAATGATTTACAGATTAGTTTTTATCCAATATGCATTAAATATATTATCTCACTTAATCCCTATAGTAAGTCTGAGAGGTGGATATTAATATGCCCATTTTTAATACGAAGAAATAGAAGTTTAGGGCGCCTGGGTGGCTCAGTTGTTAAGCGTCTGCCTTCGGCTCAGGTCATGGTCCCGGGGTCCTGGGATCGAGTCCCACATCGGGCCTCCCGCTCTGCGGGAAGCCTGTTTCTCCCTCTCCCACTCCCCCTGCTTGTGTTCCTGCTCTCGCTATGTCTCTCTCTGTTAAATAAATAAAATCTTAAAAAAAAAAAAAAGAAATAGAAGTTTAGATTCCTTGGTCAACTGGTCATCCCAAAACCAAGAAATACTAAGTTGGAAAATGGGACCTTAATTTCAGGTTCCATACTTTTCCTATATTCCACAGGTGGGCATCAGCAAAAATGGTGGCCTAAGAACCTCTGAAAACTCCTTACTCCATAAAAGCAATGAGAAGACTGGCAGAAGGTATTAGAATCAACTTTTTCATAATCCTGGAAATTAACCAAAAACTTGAAATAATCCAGAGAATGTTTATTAAAAAAAAAAATTGGTATCTTGGTAAGAAAAACAAGCTTTGTGTGATTTTAACTTGCACCATTCCTATTTCATTTTCTCCAACTCTGTAGTAGCCTTGAAAACCAACAGCAGGCTGGGGCGCCTGAGTGACTCAGTTGGTTAAGCGGCTGCCTTCGGCTCAGGTCATGATCCTGGGGTCCTGGGATCGAGCCCCACGTCCAGCTCCCTGCTCAGCAGAGAGCTTGCTTCTCCCTCTCCCTCTGCCTGCCACTCTGCCTACTTGTGCTCTCTCTGGGTCAAATAAATAAATAAAATCTTAAAAAAAAAAAAAAAAAGGAAAACCAACAGCAGGCAATCATGGTGATTAGCAGCCTGGCAGCCACCAGAAGGAACAGAGTGGGTTTAGAGGTCCTCTAAAGTCTCATTTCAAAAAAACTGTCATTATCTGACCTGGCTGGTGGTTTCCTGGAAGAATCCCCTTGCAAGGCTGTCTGTATTGAACCTACCTCTGAGTTTGCCCAGTGAAAAGCCTTTGTCAAACACAATTACAACTGGCTAATTTTGCAGCTGTCTGAAGTAGTAAATAACATGTGGGACAAACAATAGGCTAACCAAAAACTTAAAAGTGAAAAAAGGGAGGGAGATATACATAAGGGCTTTGAAAGGCTCCAACGTATTCATGGGAATCCAGAACGCCATGTATAGGGTGCTGCACATGCTCAGAAGAGACCCGAGAAGGCCCTAAGCTCTCACCTCAGGCTGACCTCGAGGCTTTGCACCAGCAGTCAGTGAAAGCTAAGACAGGGCTGTTAACTGCTTGCCTCAGTGTTGGAAGCAGGCCCTCACATACACACACACACACACAGCCCATCAGCAAAGACTGGGAGACTTGTTGATTCAGGCATTCAAGGAATTTTATGTCCAATCATTAGGTGACCATTAAGCTAACCACCCTGAGACTTCAGTGGCTGCATAGGACAAAGAATATAGATTTTACAGAATTATCAAGAAATATCAATAAACAAACAAACAAAAAAATCACAAACAGCAATAACAACCTGATTTCCAGGGTTGTCACATTATATTATTTAAAATGTCCAATTTTCAACAATTTATAAAAATATGCAAAGAAGCAAGAAAGTATGGCCATTATATAAGAAAAAAATAAAAGAGTGATCACTAGAAACTCACTGAAGATTCCCAGATGATGGGCTTAATAGGCACTTAAAACATACTATTTTAAATGATCCCTAGTACAAGGACTAAGGAAATAACTCAAAAAAAAAAAAAAATAGTGGTACCTGGCTTAGCTCAGTCAGTAGAGCATGCCTTGACCTTGGGGTTGTGAGTTCAAGCCCCACACTGGATGTAGAGATTACTTAAAAATAAAATCTAAAAAAAAAAAAAGGAGGGGGTGTGCCTGGGTGGCTCAGTCATTAAGCGTCTGCCTTCAGCTCAGGTCATGATCCCAGAGTCCTGGGATCGAGCCCCACATCCAGCTCCCTGCTCGGCGGGAAGCCTGCTTCTCCCTCTCTCACTCCCCCTGCTTGTGTTCCCTCTCTCGCTGTGTCTCTCTCTGTCAAATAAATAAAATCTTTAAAAAAAAAAAAAAGTGAAAATGACAAGGGAATTAAAATGACACAGTAGAAAATATCCATTTAGCCAAAAAGAAGGCAGATTGTAATAGGGAAAGAGAAAAGACATAAGACATATAGAAAATAACAAAATTACTAACAACATACTACATTATCAGTAATTAAATTAAATGTAAAAGGATTCAATACAACAATCAAAGGCAGAGATTGGCAGAAAGGATAAAAAAATTATCTGACTAAATGCTGTCTACAAGAGACAGATTTTAGATTCAGACACACAAAAAGGCTGAAAATAAAAAGAAGAAAGAAAGAAAGAGAGAAAGGAAGGAAGGGAGGAAGGAAGGAACATCATGTACACAGTAACCAAAAGAGAGCTGGAGTGGCTTTATTAATATTAGGCAAAATTTGGGCGCCTGGGTGGCTCAGTTGGTTGGGCGACTGCCTTCGGCTCAGGTCATGATCCCAGGGTCCTGGGATCGAGTCCCACATCGGGCTCCCGGCTTGGCGGGGAGCCTGCTTCTCCCTCTGACCCTCTCCCCTCTCATGCTGTTTCTCTCTTGCTTGCTCTCAAATAAATAAATAAAATCTTAAAAAAAAATATATTAGGCAAAATTTGCCTTAAGACAAAAATTGTTAGTAGGACAAAGAAAGGATATTTTAATGATAAACATTCAATCCATCAAGAAGACATATTTATAACAACAGAGCCCCAAATTACATGAAGCAAAAACTGACATATCTAAAGGGAGAAATACACAATTCATCAATAATATTTGAAGACTTCACTTTCCAACTTTGGATAACAGATTGAACAGCTATACAGAAGACAGAAATAGAAGACTTGAACAATGCTATAAACCAACTAAGCCTAAAAGACATCTAAAGAACACTCCACCCAACAGCAGCAGAATACACATAGAACACTCTCCAGGATATTCTACATGTTAGTCTGTAAAACAAGTAACTGGGAATTTGAAAGGACTGAAGTCATACTTAGTATGCTCTCCAACTACGATGGGATGAAATTAGAAATCAGCAACAAAAAGATATTTAGGAAATTTACAAATTCATGGAAATTAAATAACACAGCCCTAAATAACCAACAGGTCAAAAAAGAAATCACTGTGAAATTTAAAACACTTCGAGATAAATGAAAACAACATGATATGCCAAAAGTTATGGGGTACAGTGAAAACAGTGTTTAGAGGGAAATTATAGCTGTAAATCCCTATTCTGAAAAAGAAAAAAGATCTCGAAGCAATCATCTAATCTTTCACCATAAGAAACTAGGAGCAAAAAAAAAAGTAAACCCAACCCAAAGAAGCAGAAGGAAGGAAATAATAAAGATTAGTGTAAATAAATAAAGAAACAGGGTGCCTGGGTGGCTCAGTTGGTTAAGCGACTGCCTTCAGCTCAGGTCATGATCCTGGAGTCCCGGGATCGAGTCCCACATCGGGCTCCCTGCTTGGCGGGGGGTGTGCTTCCCCCTCTGCCCTCTTCCCTCTCGTGCTCTCTGTCTCTCATTCTCTCTCTCTCAAATAAATAAATAAAATCTTTAAAAAAAAAAAAGAAACAAACAAACAAACAAACAAACCAAAAGTTGGTTCTTTGGACTGAAATTACTAAAATCAGAAATGAAAGATGAGAAATTACTACCAACCTTATAGAAATAAAAAGGATTGGGGCGCCTGGGTGGCTCAGATGGTTAAGCGTCTGCCTTTGGCTCAGGTCATGATCCCAGAGTCTTGGGATCGAGTCCCGCATCGGGCTCCCTGCCCGTTGGGGAGCCTGCTTCTCCCTCTGCC